ATGCAGCGGTCAAGGAAAAGCGACCAGAATCGGTCGATCGTAAAGGTGTCATTTCCCAGCAGGACAATGCTAGGCCACACACGTCTTTGTCCACTCGGCAAAAATTGATGGATATTGCTTGAAAATTGATGTTACACCCACCATATAGCCCTGATCTCGCGCCATCGGATTACCACTTATTTCGATCCCTGGACAACTCCCTTCGTGGTAAAACTTTTAACGATGACGACGCTGTAAAATCTCACTTAACTCAGTTTTTGGCCGAAAAGGATCAGACTTTCTACGAGCGTGGAATTTTCAAGTTGTCAGAGAGATGGCAAAAGATCGTCGAACAAAATGGAAAATACATTACAGATTAAACTTCGTTCCAAGTAAAAAAAATTTTTTATTTCATTGAACAAATCGGCAATTACTTGGTTGCCAACCCAATAGAATACTGATGGAATTCCGCGGCTCTCGGTCGCGATCGTGTCGAAAGGCGGAACGGGGGAAAGAGAGCCGCTCCCGAGTTTAGGGCGGTCCCGAGGCTGGCCGGGGGCCCAGCGGTGTCAGCTCCGATGCTCCCCGAGGCGGCGCGTAAGATCCGAGCCCCGCGGAGAAATGCATCGGCTTTCCCGCGTCAAATTAAATATGATCCCCGGCACGTGATCGAGGCTAATCCCCCGGCCAGGCTCCGAGCCGGCCGGAAATTCGACCATGGAAATTCCACGAGTCTCCGCGAGTCTCCGCGAGTCTCCGCGATCCTCGCGATTCCCGCGTCGGAGGTGCGAATTTCTACCCTTTGGCGGACGATCTATCCGTATCACTTCCTCTCGGAGCTGAGATGCTCGGACAGCCGCAGCACCATGCGCGACACGAACTCCCGCAGTAGCGGCTGCTTCGCTTTTCCCACGTCCATCACCTCCTCGTGGTTCGCCTCGTCGTGGTTGTCGTAGTCGATCACGCACTGGTTCGAGATCAAGCTGAACGCGAACACCTGCAGGTCGCAGTGTCTCGCGGTGATCACCTCGTGGACCGTCGACATTCCTGTAAGCAGAGATTAGGTTTTAACCCTTTGACGTACCGTTTCGTAGTAGGCGATGCGATTAGAGATTTATCGATCGCGACCGTTTCTTGGAAGGGAGATGGAATTGACGTTTATCGTGTGGTTTGAATTTAATTGAATGTTTGAATATTGGTGGGGAGGGGTTAGAATTTTATTATAATTTTAAGGGGCGGAATGTGATATTTATACTTGATAAGTTATTCGATGATATGTAATAATTAATGTGTAATTATTAATAATTAATATATTGCTAATAATGATGTTATAAATAAGTTACTATCATTATAATAACTGTATAAGTTATTACAATATATACTATATTTATACTATATAATAAGTTATTATTATAATAACTTATTATATATATATAATATATTATAATATATATATAATAATAATAACTTTATATTAAAATTTGTTATTATATATATATATATATATATATATATATATATACAGTATATACTATATTGTAAGTTATTAAGTTATTATTATATATATAATAAGTTATTATAATAATAACTTAATGACTTACGATATAGTATATATTGCAATAACTTATATAGTTATTATAATGATAATAACTTATATATAGTAACGACTTATTTTATTATCAGTAGTAATAACTATAATATCATTATATATATATAAATTATTATCGATAAGTTTTTACTAGAAATTTTCACGCCGAGTCGAACTCGTCAAAGTACAGCGAAGGGGTTAATAAAGGTCTCGTCGCGAAATGGACCAATCATCGGCGATTAATTCGACCGGTCTTGAATTAGGGGTGACGTCAATTGGATACAAAACTGTGGTCTTAATATAGCGGTGTATATTTATAGCTATAATCGCGAAATTTTTATAAAAATTGTATAGATCGAATTTAAAATTTTGGTGGGATTCGTTGGCTTTATAGATGACAAATAAATTCTCCCCAATTGTCCCTCAGCTTGGAGATAAAAATGGACAATTTGAGAAGAGGAGATACGATTATTCGTATAAATTAAATATGATAAATAAATATATAAATAATAAGTACATAAAATATATAAATATATAAGTAATAAATATACAAAATGTATAAATACGTAAATAATAAGTATACAAAATATATAAATACATAATAATAAATATAAAAAATATATAAATACATAATAATAAATATCAAAAATATATAAATACATAATAATAAATATCAAAAATATATAAATACATAATAATAGATATCAAAAATACATAAATACATAATAATAAATAAATGAATAAATAAATATAATCGAATCCCCTCTTTCCAAAATGTCCATTTTTGTTTCCAAGCCGAGGGACAATCGGGGAGAATCGACTGTAGTTGCTTTTAAATAGAAAATTATTGCACAAATTGTATGAAAGAAGGGGAGGGGGTGAAGTCTATAATCGACAGAACGTCTTTTAATTTGGAACCGACTGTACTTGCTTTTAAATAGAAAATTATTCGACAAATTGTATGGAAGTGGGAAGGGGCCGGAGTCTATAATTGACAGAATAGTTGCTTTTAAATAGAAAATTATTCGACAAATTGTATGAAGCGGGGGAGGGGGTGAAGTCTATAATCGACAGAACATCTTTTAATTTGGAATCATCGTTAGATTTTTGATTATACGAACCGACAGCGTCGACGCCGACCATCCTCAGCATCTTGAGCTCAGCCACCGTCTCGAAGTTCGGCCCGCCGAGGCAGGTGTAGACGCCTCTGTGCACCATATCCGAGATGCCCATCTCGTTGGCTACTTGTTGGCCCATTTCTAGCAGCGACCGGTTGTACGCCTTGTTCATGGGCGGAAACCTCGGGCCGAATCTGCCGGGAACAGTCGGAATCGTTAGGGAATTGCCCCGGATCGACCTTATCGCGTCCTCCTCGGCAACGACACTTTCCGAATTTCGCTAAAACAACCGTGAACGTCCGCCGCGAAGTTACACTTATATAGATATATTCGGAGACCTTCCTGAGATACGTATAAAATTCCTTCCGATGTTTCCGGCGAGATGAAACGTCTCGCGACCGAATGTTTCATGCGTTTAACCCGTCCGCGACGTCCGATAAATTCCTACGCGAGAGCAGGACGATTTCCGTCGACGTTCGAAAATTCATGCGCTACGTTAATTTGTAACTAATTCGCGGATCTTTGTGCTGGATAAAAATAATCTTCATTAATCGCAAGATACAGATTATAATAATTTCAGCGAGTTTATGGGAACGCGATGATATTATCAAATTGTACAAAAGATCTCGCTATTTTCTCCATTCGATTTGCCAGTTTCCGTCGCAATTGTATAAAAACCGCGGTACAATCGTAACCGACGGATCGATTGTTATTATTATTAATATTCGGAAGGGGCGAGCAACTTTCGTGCCGGACAGATCGCGTTCGAAATCGTCGCAACGAGTCGTGGCTCGTTGTTCCAGCGCGTATACCATACAATATAAAATATATTTATATATAATATAATATAATATAATTATATATTATTTATATATATATATATAATATAATATAATATATTTATATATAACATATACCATACAACATACCATTTTCTTCGCAGTTACTGCGATTAGAAATCTTTCGATTGCAATAATTTCTTAGACGGGAAAGAAAGTTGATGCTTATCGCATGCCTAAATTTACTCGAACGTTTAAATATCGACGACAAGAGATTAGAATTTTATTCCAGTGTTGAAGGAATATTTGATTAGAAATTGTTCGATTGCAATGATTTCTTAAACGGGAAAGAAAATTTATGCTCATCGCGTGCCTAAATTTACTCGAACGTTTAAATATCGACGACAAGAGATTAGAATTTTATTCCAGTGTTGAAGGAATATTTGATTAGAAATTGTTCGATTGCAATAATTTCTTGGACGGGAAAGAAAATTTATGCTCATCGCGTGCCTAAATTTACTGGAACGTTTAAATATCGACGACAAGGGATTAGAATTTTATTCCAGTGTTGAAGGAATATTTGATTAGAAATTGTTCGATTGCAATGATTTCTTAAACGGGAAAGAAAATTTATGCTCATCGCGTGCCTAAATTTACTCGAACGTTTAAATATCGACGACAAGGGATTAGAATTTTATTCCAGTGTTGAAGGAATATTTGATTAGAAATTGTTCGATTGCAATGATTTCTTAAACGGGAAAGAAAATTTATGCTCATCGCGTGCCTAAATTTACTCGAACGTTTAAATATCGACGACAAGAGATTAGAATTTTATGCCAGTGTTAACTCTTTGCACTCGAAGCTATTTCAACTGTAAATCTAAAATAATTTTTCTGACTCATAGTATTTTTATTTTACATGGCAAAGTGCATTTTATGCATATGAAATTGTCTCTTGTGACTCGCACAACGGTTACGCTCTTAACAATCTTTTTAAATCTAAACTTTGCTAATATAAAAATTATTTTAGAACGTGTCATCATAAATTTCAATGGTGCCTCAAAGTCACCACTCGAGTGCAATGGGTTAAAGGAATATTTGATTAGAAATTGTTCGATTGCAACAATTTCTTAGACTGGAAAGAAAATCGATGCTTATCGCGCGCCTAAATTTACTCGAACGTTTAAGTATCGACGACAAGAGATTAGAATTTTATTCCAGTGTTAAAGGAATTAGGTAAGAAAAACCTAGAAGAAAATAAGAAAATAATATCAGAAGAAAACAATCAGAAGAATATAAATATATATTATATCAGAATATAATATAAATAAAATCAAATATAAATAAAATCAGAAAAATAACAACAGAAGAAAATAAAAGAAAGTAAGAAAATAACATCTATACATTTTTAATAAGTTATTACTAGAGATTTTCACGACAAGTCGGACTCGTCCGAGTACGTCAAGTGGTTAATGCATTCAGGAGATCAGAGTCTGTTCCACTGATTCCACTCTCTGACCGTGAAAGCGCGAGAACAAGCCCCGCGACGAAAGTATTCCAGGAGAACGCATAATACTGATATTTATTAAACCGGGTTTTACGCCTCAGTCGAAAGATATTGCGGAAGGAGGAGGAGGAGGAGCGCGGGTGGCGGCAGGGGGACGGGGAACATCGGCAGACATATTTAATGAAGTCTATTAATAAGAAGAGTTAGAAGAATGAGGGAAGAAAGGGAGACGGGGCGGGGGGACTTTAAGGGAAGCAAGCTGCCGTGCGCTGCCGGGTGAAAGGTCAAAGCAAGCTCGACCGTGAACGAACGAGTCGGGAGAGCAGACGTTGGAAATGAACAGAGAGAGAGAGAGAGAGAGAGAGAGAGAGAGAGAGAGGGGAGAGAGAAAAAGAGAGGAAGCGAGAGGGCCGGAGGGAAATTCTTACGTAAATACGTCAATCAGATTCTTTATGCCGTCGAGTAAATAGTTCGTCAATCGGATTCAAGGGGTCGTTCCGACAAAATAGATTAATTTTATTCCTTCCAGGACCTCGAGGACCTTCCTGCCGCCACGATTCCGTTCCTCTTTTAACCCTTAGGGCTCCGCGAACGAGCCCCGTCGTCTTTGCTCCCGGAATCGAGATCTGAAAAAGTCGGCTCTCTTCCCCCTCGGGCCGAATCAAATTCCTACCCCTTCCCACAGATCGGCCATCTTTCATTCTTTCTTTATTTATTTCATCGTTCCCTCGCCTCTTTCCCTGATTCTTCCACCCTTTGTTCGCGCGGTCGCTAAACACGTGCTAATTTCTCCGCCGGGGAACAAACTCTACCCCCGTGAGTGAATTCTCCCTAATTCGCGCCCGGATTGCGAACAAAATGGACGATTTGGGGAGGGGAGATGCGATTGTTCGAGCCTCGCGACTTGTTTTTATAATTATCGATTGTTAATAACCATAAAAACGAGCCGTGAGGTTCGAACAATCGCATCCCTCCTTCCAAAATTATGTATTTTTGTGCATAATTACGTATAATTTCGTGCACAATAATTATTATTATTATTGTAATTCCGCCGGTCGTTTTTATACTTATCGATTGTTAATAACTATAAAAACGAGCCGTAAAGCTCGAATAATCGCATCCCCTCTTCCAAAATTATGCATTTTTGTGCATAATTACGTATAATTTCGTGCATAATAATTAGTATTATTATTGTAATTCCGCGGGTCGCCTCGCGGCTCGTTTTTATACTTATCGATTGTTAATAACTATAAAAACGAGCCGTAAAGCTCGAACAATCGCATCCCTCCTTCCAAAATTATGCATTTTTGTGCATAATTACGTATAATAATTTCGTGCACAATAATTATTATTATTATTGCAATACCGCAGTTTTTTAAATTAACGAGCCGCGAGGCTCGTTCTTATAATTGCCAATTGTCAATAATCATAAAAACGAGCCGCGAGGCTCGAACAATCGCATCCCCTCTTCCAAAATCATGCATTTTTGTGCACAATTACACTTATTTCGTGCACAATAATCATTATTATCGTAATTCCGCGGTTTTTCTTACCTAATTCCGACGACCCTTGGCATCGGCGTAGCAATAAATCGCACAGGCGTAGGACAAACACAGGGTTAAATTCACGGCGACCCGAAATTTGGCAATTCCGGGAGAAATTTCGGAAAGACGTCCGGAAAATATTGCTAATCGTATAAAACATTTCTAATTCCTAATCGCAGTAATCCTGTAATCCGATCGCATAATTCGTCAGTCATTTCCCACGGAAGAAGAGTCTCCGAAGAATTGAACCGAACAAAAATTTGTCTCCGACAGAAAGGAACCGATTCCAAGAACCGATTAAAATCGTTGATGAACGATTTAGCGTGAATAAACGCGCGGACAAATGCGTGAATAAAATTTTGAATAAATCGCGCGAAGAACGATAAATCGCGTAAACGCGAGAAACGCGGAAAGATCCGTATAAGAAGGCGCGATTACCGTTCGTCGATGATTAAACGACGACGCGCGTACGCGCGTACGTAAGACGGCAACAGTGACGGAGCACGCGAGTAAAAAGAAAAGGAAAAAAAAAAGAAAAATCCGCGGGGGTGATTGGCGTAGGAATAGAGCGCGGCACAGGGTGGTCCGGGACCGAGCCGATAAGGAAGCGTGCGACGGCGGATGAACGGTGGGGACCCAAGGTGATACGTCGCGCCGAGGCGAGGCAGAACAGGAAGAAGATACCTGTCGTCGTTCGGTCCTTGAAGAGGGTTATTCCCCGCAAAACCCATCATGTTCACGTGATCCTTCACCATCATAATGTCGCCGACGTTGTACGTTGGATTCAGACCTCCCGCCGCGTTTGTCGCAATCAGATGGGTCACGCCCACCAGCTTCATAACTCTGACTGGCATCGCGCACTGCGGGCAAAAAACGGGACCGATTACGTTAGGCAATAGTTGTCGCGATAAAGAACTCGGCAAAACAAACACGAAAGAGAAGAGAGAAAGAGAGAGATAGCAAGAGAGCTAGAGAGACAGAGAGAGAGAGAGAGAGAGCGAGAGGGAGAGTGCGAGAGAGCGAGAGAGAGAGAGAGCCGAGGAGAGCCGAAATAGAGCGAGAGAGCTAGAGAGAGAAAGCGGGAGAAAGAGAGAGCTATTGAGAGAGAGAAAGAGCAAGAGAGCTAGTGGGAGAGGGAGAGAGCGGGAGAGCGAGAGAGAGAGCGAGCCGAGGAGAGCCGAAATAGAGCGAGAGAGCTAGAGAGAGAAAGCGAGAGAAAGACAGAGCTATTGAGAGAGAGAGCAAGAGAGCTGGAGAGCGAGAGAGAGCATGAGAGAGCGGGAGAGCGAGAGAGAGCATGAGAGAGCGGCAGAGAGAGAGCGCGCGAGTGAGAGAGCGCGCGAGTGAGAGAGCGAGAGAGCGAGAGAGAGATGAGGAGAGTGGAAAGAGAGCAAGAAAGTTAGAGAGAGAAAGCGGGAGAGAGAGAACTATTGACAGAGAGTGAGAGAGAGCGAGAGAGAGAGCAAAAGAGCTATTGAGAGAGGGAGAGAGAGAGAGAAAGGAAAAGAGAGAGAAAAAGGAAAAGAGAACGAAATAAAGAGAAAGATAAAGAGAAAGAAATAGTGAGAGAGAAAAATAGAAAAAGAGAGAAAGAAAGATAAATAGAGACAGAAAAAGAAAAAAGAGAGCGCGTAAGAGAGCAAGAGAGCTGGAGAGAGAGAGCGCGAGAGAGCGGGAGAGCTAGAGAGAGAAAGCGGGAGGAAGAGAAAGCTATTGAGAAAAGGAGAGAGAGAGAGAGAGAGAGAGAGAGAGAGAGAGAGCGCAGGAGAGCGAGAGGGAGAGTGCAAGAGAGCAAGAGAGAGATGAGGAGAGTGGAAAGAGAGCAAGAGAGCTATTGAGAGAGCGAGAGAGAGAGCAAGAGAACTAGTGAGAGAGGGAGAGAGAGAGAGAGAGAGAGCTGACATTGCTTCCATAAGTGCATAAAAAGCGTGTAAGAGCGTTTCTCACCTTCCACAGCGGGTAACCCTCGTAGTAATGGAATCTCCCTTGCATGCACATCACCGGGATGCCCTTCAGATAACCGAACACCATCTGACCTTGGTGACCCTGGACTGTGGAGACTGGGAAATGGGGGATCTCCTCGTAAGGGAAGCACTGCTTTTCCTCGAGGAATTCAGCCAGCGAACCTGGACACAACTCGTTTTGCTCATTTGATCCTGTACAAGGAATAAAGAAACGATTGACTTCGAAAATACTCGGCACAGGCATGCACGTTTTTGTCTGTAGCGTTCGCGACCGGCCACGTCGAAATCATCGGCGACAAGCTGAAAGGGGTGGGGAGTGGGTGACACCGCCCCGATGCGTTAAAATATAACCGAAGTTTCGGAATTTTTATTTTCTAGGTTATCGCTGAATTAAAGATTCGGCTTTCGGCTAATTCGACTGAGACTGGAGTGGCCAAAATTATTGTATGTTATTATACTAATAATATACGATTATTATTAGTATAATAATAATAATAATATACGATTATTATTAGTATAATAATAGTAATAATAATAATAATAATTATTATTGTTGTTATTGTTATTGTTATTATTATATTATTATTATTATTATTATTATTATTTCTAATCGCCCGCCCGTAATAATGATAATTATTATAATCATTATTATTATTATTACTATGATTATAATGATAATTATTATAATCATTATTATAATTATTACTATGATTATAATGATGATTATAATAATCATTATTATTATTATTACTATGATTATAATAATAATTGTTATTATTATTATTATTATACTAATTTATATAATATAAAATATATATAAAATATTATTATATTATTATTAAAATATTATAACTAAATATTATAAAATATTATAATTAAAATATTATTAAGTATTATTAAAATATATATAAAATATTATTATACTAATATAATAATAATAACCAGTCGACAGCAGTGGACGCTTCGGCCACTCCCTGCCTAAGAGAATAAGAAATGGAAGAGTTTCAGCTTTGTTTCTGAATTTTCTTTTAGCGCAAAAATCGTGCAAGATGGCCGAGTTGTTCGCTGTTTTCGAAAAGTCCGCTTCTCGGAGAACAAGCAAATATCGGAACGTTCGATTTGCAAAAATCGCGGCGATTCGCGAAGCCGGAAACTGTTATCGGAAACGCAGCGAGCGGGTTTTCGAAAATTTTAACAATTTCAGAAATTGTTTCCGCGCGTCGTCGCCGCATCACCGCCGCGTACAAAAGCGACCCGTTTCCAACCGGTCGTTCGCGTATTCCGCCGCGCGATCGCGCCGATTCATGCCGCGGCGTATACGTATTATATGTTGTACAGTCGGAAAACCACTAACCCATTCCGGAGCCGCATATTATCCCGATCTTCGGCTGCATCTTGATGCGATCCAGAAGGAACTGGGCCGACTCCTGCAGCGTCTCGAACGTGTACCTGAAAGAACCAACACGGACAATTACGTCGAGCCTTTCCGCTGTTCGCCGCTGCGGAACACGCGGAGTTACTCGTTGCGCCGGAAACAACGCGGGGCAAGTTACAACGTTAGGAGTCTCCCATTCAAGAAGCAGATATAAGAGCTGCCGCCGGCTGTTCCAAGCGGCAGCAGATTTCGGATTTTCTTGGCGTCGCGTGTCTCTGCTCGACTAAAATTTCTCACGAGCTTCCCTCTTCGATGCGAGCAAAATGGGTTCGTAAAATCGAAATCATTTGTTTGTAGAAATTGAAGTTGATAAGTTCGATGGCTGAGCTGCGCGTGTGGTGGTAATAAGAAATTATTTTTATAAAAGAAAGTATATTTAAAGAAGAAAATATATTGAAAAAGCAAAATATATTCAAGAAACGAAATATATTCAAGAAACGAAAATATATTCAAGAAAGAAAATATATTCAAGAAACAAAGTATATTCAAAAAGCAAAATATATTCAAGAAACAAAATATATTCAAGAAACGAAAATTCAGGAAAACAANTTTCTCACGAGCTTCCCTCTTCGATGCGAGCAAAATGGGTTCGTAAAATCGAAATCATTTGTTTGTAGAAATTGAAGTTGATAAGTTCGATGGCTGAGCTGCGCGTGTGGTGGTAATAAGAAATTATTTTTATAAAAGAAAGTATATTTAAAGAAGAAAATATATTGAAAAAGCAAAATATATTCAAGAAACGAAATATATTCAAGAAAAGAAAATATATTCAAGAAAGAAAATATATTCAAGAAACAAAGTATATTCAAAAAGCAAAATATATTCAAGAAACAAAATATATTCAAGAAACGAAAATTCAGGAAAACTATATTCAAGAAAGAAAATATATTCAAGAAACAAAATATATTCAAAAAAACAAAATATATTCAAGAAACAAAATATATTCAAGACAGAAAATATATTCAAGAAACGAAAATTCAGGAAAACAAGATATATTCAAGAAAGAAAATATATTCAAGAAAGATAATATATTCAAGAAAGAAAATATATTCAAGAAAGAAAATATATTCAAGAAAGATAATATATTCAAGAAAGAAAATATATTCAAGAAACAAAATATATTCAAAATAAACAATATACAGGGTGTCACAAAAATGTCTCGCAATCCGAAAGTAGGAAGCATTCATTTGAAGCAACTTTTTACCTTAGCGAAAATGCAATCCGCGGCTTCGTTTACAAGTTATCAACGAAAAACAGTGACCAATCAGAGACGAGATCATTTGGCGCGAGACGGCCGAGCCAATGAGCGGAACTGGGCTCCGTGCACTCGTTGGCTGGGCCGCCGCGCGCCAGCCGAGCTCGCCTCTTATTGGTCAGTGTTTGTTCGTTAATAACTCCTAAACGAAGCCTCGGAGAAAATTTTCGCAAAGGAAAAAGTTGCTTCGAATGACCTCAGGAACCTCCCATTTCCGGATTGCGTGACATTATCGAGCGATTGCCGCGATCGCTTTGCGCGTCGACGAATCAACTTCCGACAGCACTCAACAAAGGAGGAACTCTTTTACTCGCGCCGAAATTCGCAGAAGTCGTAGAAATCGCGCGAATCGTCTGCGTTCGATCGATCGTTCGAAACCAGAAGCAGTAGGGAACGCGGCGCGGCGCTCGGTTCGTCAACATTTTCAGTTTAACGCAATCGCCGTTCGAAAGTTTGCGCGGTGCCCGTTACGAACGTTTCTGCGCTAGATCGGAAATAAAGAAAACAAGGCAGGAATTGATATTTCGGGGAGCCTCTGTGCGCCGTGCTCGCGGGATTTCCGCGAGCACGGCATCGATTCTCGGCGCGGCGAGTCGAGGACCGATTCCAGGATTCCGGGGGATTTCGGGGCGATTTCGGGGCGATTCGTAGCCGCGCCGGCCTGGAAATAATAGTTTCTACGAAATCACAGGCACGGCCGCATAAATTGGCAAGATAATGGCCGGCGGCGTCACAGCAGCCGCTGTCAATGGCCGCGTCCCGCCGCGCCGATGCGAGATGAACGAGTGGTGGCCCGTTTGCTCGCCGGGCTCGGCCCGGCACAATTTCGCCCGGAACGGGTGCAGTTGCCTGTTAAACGGCTAAAGAGGCGCTCCGAATATTGCGACGGATTTCAGCCGAACAGCGCCGGGCTTCGGAGGTATTACCGATCACGGATCGACGGCGCGGCGGCACCCGCGGCCAGCGGCGGCGGCGGCGGCGACAACCGGCCGCGGCTGTTTATACGAACACGCGCGCGCGCGCGCGCAACTCATCTACCGCGGGCGCATTCGCGCGTGCACGCGGACGCAGAATGCACCCGGCCCGATCGCGGACCGGTTCTACGCACAGATGCACACGCAGAATTTCCGTACGCCCGAGCACGTTAGCCGGCCTACGGCTTAAATCCCGCGCGTCACCCGGCCCAAAATCATTCGCCCTCCTGTTGTCGAACCCCTTGAAACTTGCAAAAATCGCTGTCGCTTTTCTACAACCTGCGAGATTACGATAATAATTATAATGATTTATTTGTGCGGGACTTATTTGCGTATACGGCATTTATATTATTTTTATATTATTGTATTAGATTATTATAATATTATTATATTATTATGTTATTACGTTATTATATCATTATATTATTACGTTATTATGTTATTATATCATTATATTATTATATCACTATATTATTATATTATTATATTATTATGTTATTATATTATTATATCACTATATTATAATATTATATTGTTATATAATTATATTTATATTATTATATATCCGCAGTTTAATTATTATATTATTATGTTATTATATTATTATATCATTATATTATTACGTTATTGTGTTATTATATCATTATATTATTACGTTATTATGTTATTATATTATTATGTATATAATAATAATGTATATTATATATATATATATATAATAATTAGTCCGCGGATCTTCATGCAAATTAGAAAATGTCTGCATAAACAATTTGTTTATCGGACATTAATTTATTTTTAATTTAGTTTCTTATTTTCTTTTTCTTTTCCTTTATTTTATTTATTTTGTACCCATATTAAAATTTAGTGAAAGCAAAACCTCGCTTGACTCATCGGTCCCGGGGACTCACAGCTGGTAGACATAAAAAAAACAGACCGCATCGTTCGATCGCATCCATCCTTAGATTAAGCAGATCGCGTCCCAGCTGCGCCGGAAATTATTTACGACCGGTCCTAACGTTTCCTTTTTCTTCGCGCGATATCGCACGATGTACGCCGTTACCTTCTCGAGGTAACGAGAAGGGTTATATTAACGCGCGCGTTCGTATTTGTTTCCACCGGATTCCTGTCGCCGGCAATCATCTCGCGAGAATTCGCGCGTTACATAAAGCGCCGGGATCCGTCTCTAATAACGCCGGCTAATTCGCGGCAGGATCGGACCGCGATCGAAACCGAGACCCGCGGCAGCCTTGATCGACGGGCGACCCAAGCTTAAACAGAATTGAAACGCGATAGTTGTTCCCGGTCGCAAAGCGGAAACGCATTCGCGGCGCGGCGCGGCGGCCGTGAGCCGCGAGAGCTCGCGCAATTTTAACGGAATTTTTCTCGCGGCTCGCGGACGGCGCCGTTCGGGCCGCGAGAAGCGGTTCGAAGAAAATTCCGGGCAAACGCGAGAGAGACGCGGGCGATCCGATATGCTCGCCGACTACACTGTCCGACAAAATCAAACTTTTTTTCTGGGTTCCTATAGCCACTATGAAGTTCTTATAGAGCTTGACTCCCTGAAAAAGAATCCGAAAACCGAGTTGCTCCATCGCCCTCAGTTTTTTAAATAAACGAACTTTTGTGAGAACCCAAAATTTTCGACAAAAATGAGGTATTGCATGAAAAGTAAAAACGTTAGAAAGTCATAATTGGTGTTAGAAGATAGAGGAGAGTTTCTCGAATATAGCGGCATGCAATTTATTAATTGTTTTTGGTCCTAAATAGCAATAAATTAATGTCAAAGTTTAAAAAAGTGTCGACGTGAGCAGTTTCTGCGCAATATTTTTGTATTTTTACGAAAAGTTTTTTGTTCGGCACGAAAACTCTACCCAGGATCTGATTCTGTAGACATTTCTGAAGAAGAAACGGTCCGGTAAAAGTGTCGAAACGATATACATTTCGAGTAGATCGAGAAAATGTTCGACGGCAACATGTACACGACGTTTTGCCGCCATGAGCTTCGCTGCTCGCTTCTCTCTGTCCGACAGGGCCGAAGCTACGCGTAATCAACACCGATGGAGGGATCCAATGGGGCACCCACTTTTCGTAAATAATATTTGAATTTTTTTTAGTACTTCAATGTTTTGTTTTTCTTTTTACATATTTCTGTGGATAATAATCACCAAACTGTGATATATTTCACACAAAAAATCACACCAGCGTATTTGGAGTTGGTAACACTAGTATAATTTTGACTTCTACGCCATATAATTAAACAAATATTTAAATATATATTTAACGATATGTTTCAAGAAGTTTAACGTTTTGAAAATGATTATTT